CATAAGATAATCAAGTGAAGGAAACCCACCATTCGTTGGATATTATCGTTGTGAGGTGAGATCCTTAACTGACTTTTACATTAATCTTCGAAGATCGGTTGGCCTGCCCGAGCTACGGAGCCTCCGACGCACGTTCATCAAGCTGGCAGGGCAGTACAGCTTGAGCGGGCGACCCCCACCAACAGATGCCGACAGCGCGAAGAGGATGTTTGTTGATTACTTGAACCGAGAAATTGGCGGGTGATTCTCTGATGAGTAGTCCTGCCTATGATGTACTACTTCCCAGGGGACAAAATGCAGGCGCTGGTAGCGTTTCCCCCTCCCATGCTCCTCATCTGGCTTCTTTCGGGGCGTCCAAGGAGATTATTTTGCCTCGCATGAGCTTCGCCACAAGTATTCATAAATGGCATGCCGCTGTGTAATTCTTGTGTAATTCTGTAGCTCCTGTACCACCCAAATAGTTTTCGCTGGTGTTTGCAACTTGTAAAGTACACAATTTGGAAATATTTACTGAATCATTTATGTAGCGGCTGCAACTTGTTACAACGTATTTGAAAACCGGCTCCAGATTAGTGTTCTTTGTTCTGCTATAATATCCTAAGCTACTAGTCCAACTACCTTCTTCTGTTGATAATGGGAGGCCCTTCAGATTTAAAAAGAATAAATCTGATGTTGATTATGTCGTGCAGAAAAAATAAAACAAAACAAAAACAAAGCTGCTGCATACTTGCAGCATATTAGGAGAAGCTCTGGTTTTAGAATATCCATGACCGGACAAAGACAGAGAAAAACATCCAATCTCTAAATACCTCAATCACAAAGACAAGAAACTATCTCAAGCACTGAAAGATACATTAAAGTCTAAACCACAGAACAAGAAGCACCTGTACTTGCCACAGATCAAGAAGCACCTCTATCCCTTGTATGCTACTTGCATAAAACTTCCTTTTTTCCATCGAAATATCACAAGCATCGAAAGATGCATTAAATTTTAAATCACACAAGAAACACCTATATCCTTTTTGCTACTCGAAAAAGTTTCTTTTTTCTTCCAGATAACTGCTACATGGAAATATACCACAAGCAATTCCCTTGTACTTCCATTAGTTTACAGGTTTATCCAAGTTAGAGCTCTCTTCATGATTGGAATCATCTTTGTCGTCATCATCGGCCTGGATTCCTCGGGAAGCGCCTTGGATCATCTCATCATCGACTCCTGCAAACAAAATCTTCATGTTTAACCCTCAACATTACCCACGGACAAACGGGTAAGCAAGGAGGATATGTACCTTCAATGAAGGACTCGAATTCATCGCCCGGTCCTGCTGATGGGGTCCAGTTGAATGGTTGACTAATCTCCATCCAGTTTGGCTGCTCCGTCGGTCCAGAGAACAGTGCAGATCTATCCACCACCCAGTCATCAACTATGTCTATGTAGTCTACCGAGATTGGATCAAATGCATTCGCCTTGTATTGTTGCCTATGAACAGTTATACATAGATCAAATCACTTGTTGCATCCATGCTTTGCTAGTTTTTCTATTTTTATTCTCAGAATAACATGTCATCGATTAAAACATTCTATGTAACGGGGATTTGGTTACCTGTTTTGTAGCCGCAGGTTGCATTGAACAAAGGTGAGATGATGCATTCGTTGACGTTCAAAAATATTCATTCTTTGGTCATGGAGTGGTTCGAAAGGAATGTGTGTCCGATCACACCCTTTAGCGCTGCAGGTTTGACTGAGGATACGTACTGCCAAACGTGTTAAATTCGGGCATGCTCCGCCATACATATACCACCACTCAGCTGCAAGATAATACAACATGTTAAGATCAAAGTATCATCAAACAAACTTGATGCTTTAACAAATGGAGCGTGGAAGGTTGGTTCAGAAACCTCATGCTTACAGGAATACTAGTATAATTTAGTCAATCAAGTAAAAGTAAGTTCAATACAATCTGTAATTCTGTATAGTAGTACTAACCAGGAGGTAAAGTACGCCGGGCTCGGATAGCCATTTGCCTACGAAAATCCCCAGCTGCCTCGCTCCGATACATGTTAAGCTCCTTCTGAATTTTATCTTGGATTTTGACATCAGACACCAGCCTTTCTACACAGTCTAGCATTCCTGAGAAAATCTCATTCGATATGTTATCTCTAATTCCGTCAAAAAACAGTGGATTTAGGAAGAAACCAGCTGAATGAAGCGGTCGCTGCATGTGCTTGTCCCATCTCTGGTCAATAATGTTCCAGTAAGGCATATAGTCGCTCTTCTTCAGTAGCTCTTTCTTGATTGCTGCTTTGGCTTTGTATAATCCAGCATAAACATACCCCATAGCAGGCCTCTTGTTGCTACCTACCAGCTTAAGAAGATGCACAAGTGGTTCGGTGGCACGAACAACTAAGGCACATGAAGACCAAAATTGCGAATTGCTAACAATATTGCTCACTTCTATCCCTCCGGGTATCTTTGGCAGCAGGCAGTGTACCCATTCATCTGAACTGACCATGGCTTGCAAATCTTCCTTCAGACTGTACATGTTTTTCAGTGTCACAAAGTTCATAGCAGCACGAGTCTCTGCAGGAACTAGCAGATCCTTCCCCTGTAGATGTTTCTTCATCAAACTCAATGCAAGAGCACTGCTGTACAAAAATCCAGTGATGGTCTTTGCATTGCTAATGATCTCACTAACTGCCACCGCCTTGCTGAAATCTTCAAGCATACCATCGATGCACCGGAAAGTGCATGGAGACCAGAACAGCGTAGGAAATGTTTCACCTAACCTTTTCCCTGCGGCTGCATGAATCTCAGAGTTCTTTGTGATCACCTGGACGACATTTTTCTCTCCAACTTCCTCAACAACACTCTTCAGCAGCTCAAACAATGCATCTGATGATGTGACGATATCCGTTGCATCGACCGATTTCAGAAACATGGTACCTTCAGGGCAATACACAGAAAAGGTCATCAAGGTCCTGCCTTTGTCAGTCGTCCACTCATCGGACAACACTGAGCACCCTGTGCGGGCCCATGACCCCTTGTAGAACTCCAACTGAGCCGTCACTTCGCCCAGCGACTTCTTCAGAACACAGCCGCGGAAGTCATGGTACGAGAACACCTCGGGCCTCCCTCCCATGGACGCAATGGCGTCGACCATCGGCTGGAAATGCACGGAATTCACCGCCTCCAGTGGCACACCGGCGTCATACAGAAACCTGCCGACCGCCATGCAAACCTGCTCCCTGTCCGAGCCAGCAGCCGGATCGGCATGCCTCGACGACGGAGGCGCTGTTGCTGTCGCATCGAGCGCCATGATAGTCTGGTGAGGAGGCTGCGTCTGGGGGGCAGGAGTAGCAGGCTGGAGGGGCTGCTGCTGGGCCTGCGGAGCAGAAGCAGGAGCGCGCCTCACCGTCAGCACCTTCTTCCTCCTCTTGGCAGCACCCCCGCCGCTCCACCCCGTCTGGGACAGCGGCGTGTCCTCGGCGCGGGGGGCCTGGCTGAGCGGGAGGACGTGGATGGGGCTGGCCAGGTCGGCGTTGGAGGCGGAGGGGGAGGGGGATGGCGAGGAGGCCGGCGGCAAGGCGGCGGGCGAGGGGTCGGCGGAGGCGACGGCGGCCATGGCGGCGGCGAGGGCGCGCTTGCGCAGCTTCTTGGCGGCGACGTCGTCGAGGCTGCGGTGCATGAGGGCCTCGACGTCGGCGGGGACGTCGGGGCAGCAGCAGGCGTTGCCCGGGCGGCGCGCGAGGTGCTCCTTGAAGCGGTGGATGCCGCCGCCGAGGAAGTGCTTGCCGCAGTAGACGCACTTGAGGCGGTCCCGCCCCGCCAGGCGCACCATGAGGCAGTGCTTCCACGCCGGGTCGTGCTTCTGCGCCCCGATCGGCACCACCACCTCCATCCCCTCGCCCTCCCCCTCCGCCGCGTCCTCCTCCTCCTCCGCCGCCGCCTCGTCCCTCGCCACCGCCAGCGCCACCGCGTCCGCCGCCGCCGATGACGCCTCCGGCTCCGGGGTCGCCATCCGCCGCCTCCCGCCCTGCACCAGGCATCGTCAGTCACCGAAGAATTAATCCCCAAAAACTTCGCTCCGGACGAGCTAATCCCCGGCCAGGCGGTGAGGAATTAAACCAGGCGAACCAACCAGGGAGAGGACGAGCCGGCCCTGCGGGGAGGGGGAGAAGAAGAGCGGGGAAGAAAACTCACCGGGTTTATTTTTGTTCTCTGTGGTCTGTCGGCGAATCGGCCGGCCGGCCGCCACGGAATCGGCGGAAGAAATCTGGGGCGAGATGGGGGGCGGGGGGAGAAGAAAACCAGGGGCGGAGACAGAACAGGAGCGGTTCGGTTCCGATGGGGTCGATGGACTAGGGTTAATCTCTCTCTTCTCGCGTTGGGCTGCTTGGTTGGCTCGGCCGACCGGGCCAGGCGGGCCGATGCCACGAGTCCCCCGTGATTGGGCCGGTTCGTTGGTGAACAAAATCCTTCCCTCTCTCTTTCAGTTTCAGGCATGTCCAATGTCTCAAGAGAAAAGAATTCAGACATGTTCAGTATCTTTCAACCCCAAAAAATTGAAGTAAAACTGTACTACTCCCTCCGTTCCTAAATGTAAGTCTTTGTAAAGATTCCACTATAAACCGCGTACGGATGTATATAGATGCATTTTAAGTTTATATTCATTCATTTTGCTCCGTATGTAGTCCGCCTAGTGGAATCTCTACAAACACTTATATTTAGGAACGGAGGGAGTAGAAGGAAGCACACGCCTTCTCTTCTCTTCTCTTTCCATAACAAACTGCAGCCCTACGAACCAAGAACAAAAACATTCTGCAAAACGCTCGATCCGTCGCCCCACCGGAAAGCTCTACCAGCTAAATTACAACATCTGGTAGTACCTACCATTACCGCCATCGATCCGGGAGAACAGCGGACCTCCATATGAACACCGGGTTGGTACCGATCAAGGTGGCCGCAGTTGCCCCCGTCGTATGCAGCCGACAGGCAACCGTTCAGCTGAGCCCAAGCTCCTTCTTCAGCTGCTCGAGGACGGACTCTATGTCGGACACGCCATCGTCGGAGCTGTTTGTTCCTTTCTTGTCACCCTGGGCATTTCCGCCTTTCCCTCCAAACTGCGTGTACGGATCGTTCGCGTCGTCTTCCTCGGTGCTCGAGCCGTCGATGTTCAGTTCGTTCTCCAGGAACTCAACAAACTCCTCACCAATCGCCTACATGAGCAGAAATAAATATAATTTGCATGAGCTACACCATAGGCCATAGTTACCAGCTGCAACGTTATAACTGTTCTTCTAGCAAGTGGACATTTTGCCATCTTTTTCCAAAAGTAAAATTTACAATGTGCAACAAAGTTGCCCGCCAAGATAACTTACTGACAGTTCTTCCCACAGGCTGTTAGGTTTCTGCTCTGAGTTCAGGCCAGCCTCCCAGTTCTGAAATTCTGTTTGCAGGTCTTTAAGGAAATCCCCTGCAAAACCAGAAACCAAGTGGCGTCAGCAAAATGGACATTTTTTTTACCGATCGATTAAACTTGTTACATCTGCATAACTATCTTATCTACCGGCCGATTCAAAACTGCAATAGGAATTGAATCTACAAGCAGTTCCTTAGTACTCGAAAACTGCAATGACATGGCACTAACACTAGCAGAGTGTACCACCGCATCAATGATCAACCAATGGTCAGAGAACCATTTCAGTTCACTGACCAGCATAAAATTCCTAGCCCCAGAATAATATACTACTAATTTGTTAGAGCAGAGGAGGAAGAGAGGAGATTTCAGTACCAAACCCATAGAAATCCTCTTCTGCATCAGCTGGCTTGCTGCTCCCGGGAGACCACGAAGAATCAGGGCTGCTGCTGCTGCTGCTCGCGTACTTGGATCGGCTCTCCGAGTTCATCAGCGTGTTGTAGGCGTGCTTGATCCTCAGAAACTTCTCCTGAGCATTCGCCTGCAATGAAGCAGAGCAAAGCATCCCTTAGGGTAACAGTACTGAATCTACTTCCATCGCTGAATCCTGCTGCCTGGATGTGAAGAGGAGGGGAGCGCCGCACCTCCTTGTTGACGTCCGGGTGGTACTTGAGCGCGAGGCGCCGGTACGCGCGCTTGATGTCGGCGGGCGCGGCCGACGGCGCCACGCCGAGCACCTCGTACGGGGACTCCCTCCTCCGCCCTCCGCCGCCGGCGCCTGCGCGCACCCGCACGCTCGCCCGCCGCGTCCACCGGGAGGAGCTGGGGCCCGAGCGGAGGGAGGCGACGGCGCGGAGGAGGGGGAGGAGAGGAGGCGCCGTGCTCGGAGCAGAGCGGTGGAGCGAGGGAGGGGGGAGGAGACGCGGGGCGGCGACGGCGGCGGCGTGCACCGACAGCGCCATGGCGGACGGATTGGGGTTGCGGGGCTCGCGGGCAGGCCGCTTCGAGTGGCGAGCGGCGAGCGGCGTCCCCCGCCGTCCAGATCGACTGGCGCAGAGGATCCAACGGCTGTGCTACAAGCTGATGATGAGTAGCATCCTACGTGGCTTCGTGGCTGCTTTTTAGTGCAAACTGTAAATTTAATTTAGCTGCCCTTTTTTTATCAATAGTACTCCCTCTGTTAAAGGCGTTGTAGACATTTCACAGCATGTAACAGAAGGAATAGTTTATTTCACAATAATATACAATTCAGAGGCAAGAGATCCTTAATACAAGGGTTCTTTATCAAGTCATTATACCTTATCAGTCAATCAACAACTCTATATTTCTATGCAAAAAACACTGATTTTTGTTTGAAACAAACTTCCAACCGACCTTTAAAGACTTAATTTTAGAAATTAAATGGCCATCAACTAAGCGATCCAGACCTGACCCGGAGAGGCACGAGAGGGAAGTCGAAGAGTAAGACTGCACCATAACTGGTAGTCTAGTATGCCGACGAGCCAACGCCATACCGATCAATAATGCATGCATCTCCACTCTGGCCCTAAATTCACTATTTTACAAGTTATCACTTATTTGAGATATTTTTTAGGTAATCTTGACAGCTTAGCTGGTTAGGATCCTATTGTTTGAGATCATATAATATGCAAGACTCCTGTATGAGTTATCATCATGAACATCTTAACCATACACACTACTAAGGAAAAGCTTATACACAGGATCTTACCAGCAGCGAGTTTTAAATTAAGCCGCTGCTGCAATGTAGCAGTAGCGCGCTCTCGCAAAACTCGCTGCTGAAATAAACATAGCAGTAGCGCGCCTCCTCTAAGCCGCGCTACTGCTATAATTCCCACGACCCCGCCGCGAAGCTAGTTCTAGTAGCAGCGCGTTAATTCGGAGCGCGCTACTGCTAGGTAGTTTAGCAGTAGCGCCTTTACCTTTAGAGCGCTACTGCTAAAACTAGCTAGCTCCCACCCCCACGCTCTCCTCTATCTGATCCACACTCACACTCACACTCACTCCATCTCCCCCTCAACCCCCCCGCGCGCCGGTCCTTCCCCGCCGGCCGCCGTCGCCCCCGCCAGCCGCCATCGCCTACCCCTCTTCCCTCTGTGCCGCCGTCAACTCCTCCTCCTCCTGGACTCGGTACCGCCCTCCTCCTCCGTCCTCCCTCGACTCACCGCCGGCCGGCCCCTCCTCGCTCCGCCCTTCCTCCTCCGTCCTACTCTCTCCTCCCTCCTCCAGTCGCCCCTTCTTCTCCCTCCTTCCTCCTCCTTCCACAACCCCTCCACCCTGCTACATTTTGATTTAGTAGGCTAGTTCATATGCAACATTTTGATTTAGTTCATATGATTTAGTTGATTTAGTAGGCTAGTTGATTTAGAACATTTAGATTTAGTTGATTTAATAGGCAAGTTGATTTAGTAGGCTAGTTGATTTATAGAACATTTAGATTTAGTTGATTTAGTAGGCAAGTTGATTTAATAGGCTAGTTGATTTAGTTGATTTATAGAACATTTTGATTTAGTTGATCTAGCAGGCAAGTTGATTTAATAGGCTAGTTGATTTAGTTGATTTATAGAACATTTTGATTTAACAATATTTTTCTTTTCTGTGAAGTGGATCGTTAATCCTTGCTCATATTGCTTTAGGAAAATGGCGCCACCACCACCATCACCATGTCGATTGTGCAAGTCAAGGTGCGCCAGCAGCCTTGCAACTGGCAAGCTGTTCGGCATCAACTTCCAGCCAAGTTTCCGTCATGCGGCGGTAAGAAATTATATGAAATGTAACAATTATTTTATTTTTAATGTTGGCATTACTGCATTGTGTCATTTTGCTTTTTGGTACATGATAGCACCTCTAATGATTCTTGGTGCTTTATCATATCTTTCGATTATTTTCAACCTCGAGGAGGAAAACCAGGGAGTCAGATTGTGATTGGTATCTTGATTTGACAATAACCGGTGAGAATTTTCTCCTTGCTCACAGAAACTGTAAAAAAGAATTCCAACTCAAAGATAAGCGGCTCAGACATTGCCAACTTTAGTGCGAGAGGATCTAACATCAAGCAAAAGAGTTAGATTTAGTTTTTGGCCGAACTTTCGAAAGGAGTCGGTTTGTCAAAAGTTACTCACAAACACCACAACGGCCGTCTCAACAACTTGCGCAAAACGATCAAGCATATTCTCTATTTCTAAGGAACATCAATTACAATGTAGACGCACAAATACACACTACCACACGTAGTAACACACACACCTTTGTGGGGTCTAACCGATGATCTAGAGGGGGTGAATAGACCTAATTCAAACTTCTACCACTTTTAAACTTCGGCAACTTTAAGCACAAAGAGGCTAGTTGACCCTTAAACAATCAAGCAAGTATAATGAGTAAGCATCGAAAAATATAACAACTTGAATGAAAGTAAGGGAATAGGGTAGAGTAGGCAAATATTTGTTGACCCGGCGATTTTTCACGTAGTTCAGATAGTTGGTGCTATCCTACATCCTCGTTGATGGAGGACTCGGACCAAAAGGTTAAGGATCCAAAGATCTCGGTTCTGACGCCCACCAAACGGCCCACGAAGCACAACCAATCTATTATATCATGGCTTGCACTTATAAGCATCACCAAGGATAGATCTTCACAAAATTGGCGATCTCTGGGTGCGTACAAATTCTAAGTCCTTTGCGCATGGAAGTTGATATGGTCTAAGTGATTCCTGGTCATATAAGATCTGAAGGAAATATGCCATGGAGGCAATAATAAAGTTATTATTTATTTCCTTATATCATGATAAATGTTTATTATTCATGCTAGAATTGTATTAACCGGAAACATAATACATGTGTGAATACATAGACAAACATAGTGTCACTAGTATGCCTCTACTTGACTAGCTCGTTGATCAAAGATGGTTGTGTTTCCTAACCATAGACATGAGTTGTCATTTGATTAACGGGCTGACTTGACCCATTCCGTTAGTTTAGCAGTTGATCGTTTAGTATGTTGCTATTGCTTTCTTCATGACTTATACATGTTCCTATGACTATGAGATTATGCAACTCCCGTTTACCGGAGGAACACTTTGTGTGCTACCAAACGTCACAACGTAACTGGGTGAGTATAAAGGAGCTCTACAGGTGTCTCCAAAGGTACATGTTGAGTTGGCATATTTCGAGATTAGAATTTGTCACTCCGATTGTCGGAGAGGTATCTCTGGGCCCTCTCGGTAATGCACATCACTATAAGCCTTGCAAGCAAATGTAGCTAATGAATTAGTTGCGGGATGATGCATTACATAACGAGTAAAGAGACTTGCCGGTAACGAGATTGAACTTGGAATTGAGATACCGACGATCGAATCTCGGGCAAGTAACATACCGATGACAAAGGGAACAACGTATGTTGTTATGCGGTTCGACCGATAAAGATCTTAGTAGAATATGTAGGAGCCAATATGGGCATCCAGGTTCCGCTATTGGTTATTGACCAGAGAAATGTCTCGGTCATGTCTACATAGTTCTCGAACCCGTAGGGTTCACACGCTTAACGTTCATTGACGATATAGTATTATATGAGTTATGTATGTTGGTGACCGAATGTTGTTCGGAGTCCCGGATGTGATCACGGACATGACGAGGAACTCCGGAATGGTCCGGAGATAAAGTTTAATATATGGAATAATGTTGTTTGGTCTCCGGAAGGGTACCGGAATTCACCGGAAGGGGTTCTGGATGTTTCCCGAAATGTTTGGGTACGAGAACACGTTATTTGGGCCAAAGGGGGAAAGCCCACAAGGTTTTTGGAAAGCGCAAAAGGAAGTTTTGCGGAGTCCAGGGGCCAGACGCCAGGGTCCCCGGCGTCTGGGTCCAGACGTCGGGAACCCTGGCATCTGGCCCTGGAGTCGGAGAAGGACTCTTGCCTTTCGGGTGAAACCGACTTTGTGGAGACTTTTACTCCAAGTTTTGACCCCAAGGCTCAAGATATAAATAGAGGGGCAGGGCTAGCGCCAAAGACACATCAAGAAACACCAAGCCGTGTGCCGGCAACCCTGTCCCCTCTAGTTTATCCTCCGTCATAGTTTCCGTAGTGCTTAGGCGAAGCCCTACGGAGATTGTTCTTCACCAACACCGTCACCACGCCATCGTGCTGCCGGAACTCATCTACTACTTCGCCTGTCTTGCTGGATCGAGAAGGCAGGACGTCATCGAGCTGAACGTGTGCTGAACGCGGAGGTGCCGTACGTTCGGTACTTGGTCGGGGCGAATCGTGAAGGTGTACGACTATATCAACCGCGTTGATAAACGCTTCCGCTTAGCGATCTTCAAGGGTATGAAGATACACTCTCCCCTTTTGTTACTATGAATCACCATGATCTTGCATGTGCGTAGGAATTTTTTTGAAATTACTGCGATCCCCAACAGTGGCATCCGAGCCTGGTTTTATGCGTACATGTTATATGCACGAGTAGAACACAAGTGAGTTGTGGGCGATACAAGTCATACTGCTTACCAGCATGTCATACTTTGGTTCGGCAGTATTGTTGGATGAAGCGGCCCGGACCGACATTACGCGTACGCTTACGCGAGACTGGTTCTACCGACGTGCTTTGCACACAGGTGGCTGGCGGGTGTCAGTTTCTCCAACTTTAGTTGAACCGAGTGTGGCTACGCCCGGTCCTTCAGAAGGTTAAAACAGCACTAACTTGACGAGCTATCATTGTGGTTTTGATGCGTAGGTAAGAACAGTTCTTGCTCAGTGTCGGAGTAAATGACCATGGGTAGCCTAACCGGCTCCCTTTGGCCCTCAGAAAAAACAATGGGCCAACCGAGCGTTGAAGCGCCCAAGACACGGGGCCGCCTTCGTCCGGCCGGCTATAACATAGGCCGACTGGAGGAAGGCGGCCCAGACATAAACGATCTTTAGGGGACGCCACAACAGGGCCGACTCCAAG